ACACAGGAGAGGATACTCTTTCGTTTAGTCTCCGTCTAAGGGCACGTGCGAAACGGAGACTAAACTACTCTTTGAATCCCACCCCCTAAATAAATTTTGAATAAAACATATAAAAATATTGAGATCGAAAAATAAAAACAAAAACAGTTTAATTTTACAAATACAAAAGTTTTATAAAAGCCATTACTTTTATTATACCAATACCAAATCGGATGATGACGATTGCTCCTATTCTTATTGTTTGCGTTCAAAGATATTGTTCTAGACACATTCCGAGTGTTGCCAACGAGTCACACTTGCAATGGTGAATGAGGGAGCGGATTTCCAGGTGGCCGGATCCGACCTCGATAGATCCTCGACGCAATTATCTCTTCAACCAAAAAGCTGTAGAAGAAAACTAAACAGACCATCAGGAAGCGCAAACCTTCCGCTTTCCAAAACTATCTTCCCTTTTTCAGGATCTTACAATATAAGAGATATATTGCTCTTGAAGTGGCAAAAACTCGCGTGAAAATTTCGGCCTCCTCGACATTTACTCGACGAAATTTGACAGACCCTATCTTTCTGCAAGGAAGGCTTCAGAGCAATTTCGATGCTTGTTGGAAACGCGAAATCCAGCTCTATCTAACTCTACCTCAAGCTGCTTCAAAGGTTGTGAAATGGAGGAATGCAACCTTTTCATCGAGGGTGTAGATTCGGACGTTTTTTTTTGAAATTTCGGCAAATCTGACCCAGTGACAATCGCGCCGCAGCTGCCGTTGAATCGGCCTTTGATACACTCGGCTGTTTTGATATACTCAAGCAAGAATCAAGATTGAATCGCAACCCCGTGTCTTCAGGATTTCTGTGCGTTTCTGAACGAACCTCGCCTTGAGGTCACACAAAGTTAATGCCTCTTTCCTCGAGTCGATATTTCAGTATGTACACAAAAGTATGCAGCGATGGAAGACGTGCATAGATGACAAGATGAAGCGTCCTTAGCATTATTTTGCAGAATTTTTTTTGATTGTTTTGATTTTTTTTGATTTGTTTTGCAGGATTTATTTTAATTGAATTAATTTGCTCTGTTAGAGGGGGTCGTGCCAGGATCTCGATTTCGGGGGGGGGGGTCGTACCTCTGCGACCACGTACTCGACACGATTTTCACCCTGGCACAGTATACCACGTTTTGTGAAGCTATCAGAAGATTAGGTGGGCCAAAGGAAGTCAATGATTTTGCGGTGGCCGTCGGATCAGCGCGTGATTATATACTGAATTTTTCGGAACTTCAAACGAACACCATGGTGCAGGCTCTATGGTTCGTTTCTTCGTAAAAGCTTTACACCAATGTAGTGAAGCGCTGCACTCCCCACGAGAGAGGAAGTTTATATGAATACTCTAGTAGGCAACAGCGATGAATGGAAGTATTGCTAGCGCTGGGAGAATTACATAAGCAAAGTAGGTCATATTATACAGGCTATACGTTACCTACGCCGTTTCGTTTACAAAATAAATAATAGTTTGAGTAACCTTGCAAAGACGACTTGAAAATCTGCATCAGCTGATTTCTGATTGTGAATTGCTCATGAGAAGCTAGTAGCCTAATGAAATACTTGGTAGGCACGGAATACGAATCTGACTATCGAATGACCCCTTCTCCAAACTAAAATAAACCTTAGCAGTGTTACTGCCATGAACTCATCTGAAACATAATACCGTACTACAGAGGCTTGAATACAGTCGAGATCCGTAAGTTGGGGTAGGCGTGTCACCGGAAGTGACGTGGACTTGATAGAAGTTGCGTAGGTAAGTCGCTGCCAGCATGCTTTGCTGATATCTCGCGATGTATATTGGAAGCACCTTATCCACATAGATTCTATCAAGTACACGTCACTTCCGGTGACACGCCTACCCCAACTTACGGATCTCGAGTATATTATAGTCCTTAACGTCGGGCGCCATTTCACTAAATCAACAAAAAAGATTCGATGAGCCATATAGAACTCGGAAACTCACTGAATATTTGTCCTTAATGTATTTTGCAACTCTGGAAATGTGCCAAAGCATCAACCGGTCACGTGACCCTTGTCGTCCCATTTCAATCAAGCTGGCGTTGCAAACACCTATCTGAAAACACTCCATTTACGATTTGTATATGCTAAATTTTTGGTCTCAACTCCACAAGTGGTTTAAAGGCAGGATTTACAATGAAAAAACAACCCCTTTCAAATAAAGTAAGGAGGTGAGTGGTACAAGAAAGAAGGAAAAAACCATGAGAAGCGGCACAGAACCTGACAAATAGAACCCTTTCCCTGACTATTGCGCCCAGAAACCCGAAAAATCGTACTCCTCCTAGCCCATTGATTGCCTCGCATTTAGCGACTTTCATCGGTGTCCTTCTGGCGATGCTTAACGCTCTCTCTCTGCTATCTAATCCCTCGCCACGTGCAGACCTATGCAGTGTTTAGAGTCGGTGGGCGTACCCGCGCCAACCGCGCCAAGAGTGAGCCATGCTAGATCGCCGAGGTCAAATCTTTCGCTGCCAATTGCGTGTCGGTCCGCCCTCAGGAGGTCCGCCTGTCTCCCCACTAGGCAATTTTCCCCTTCTTCGACCTTCGTTCTTATCGTGGAATCCTCCTTTAGATAAGGAGGTGAATAAACATGGCAACAAGAAACGCCAATTGAAAGAATAATATACAAAAAATAACAGCGAGCGCCATACCTGAAACGCCTCATCGGCACCCATATGGAAGTACGGCATCCCGTGTTTCCTATGCACTTCCGCAACCTGGTCGATCATATCGGTTATCAAATTCCACGCTTCAGGTTCAGGGAAGCATATCACCTAAAAAACATCCGGACCTATAACCCCTACATAGCGAAGACTAAGGAGGAGAACCCCTCAAGCTCATAATTTAGGGCAGATAACCATACCTGTGGGAAGCGCACATCTTCTCTCAAATGAGCGAACTGCTCCAACTTCAGAATCCATTCCAGATGACCAAATGTTTGTACAAGAGGAATCACTTCAAGATGATGACGTTTCGCCTCTTTCAAAATGTTCTCCACCTGAACCCATTGAAAACACCCATCGTTCTCGCAGACGAAGATCCAAAATTTTCAGCTCACGTCATCAATAGAGTACGCATTTCCATTCACAGCTACAGATAAGTTGCCTGTGTAAGGAAACATGTCCTCCCACTCGATCAGAATACCAGTCGCCTTTATTCGATTCAAATAGTAGAAAATTTCAGTAAAGAATTCAGGCTGAAATAAGCTGACCATCAAAGAAGAAACTTCAGAGGCAAACGATAAACTAACTTTGAAAGCTCCTCCTTTGAGATCCAAATGTACGATCCTACGATGTGGAATAAATTTCCCATTCGTGTTTAGATGGGGGTAGGAGTCATCGTCTGACTCGGGACGAGCATTGTGCGACTGCTTTCCGAAAACATCATTTGCAGCCACAGCACCCATAGCAGGCATTTGCTCTTGATCTTGTTCACCTTTGTAAGCACTAAAAAATCCAAAAAGATGAACTTCAAAAAATAAAATAGCAACAAAGGAAAACCTACACAGCATCTGGTCCATCAACTCGATCAGGGTCAACACCATCACCATCTTCATTTTTTATTATCGGCAGTGGAGCACCTTCCGCTTGAGCCCCGGCACCATGGTCATGATTTCCATATTCCTTGGATTCTTCCGGAAGCGGGTGCAGTGCTCGTTCCTGAAATAACTCAGACATATAACTAACGCTATTAAACTTTAGAAGCAAATTTGCTTTGCCTGATCTTGAAACAATATTGAGAATTTTGGAACTGTGATAAACATGTGATATGGGAAAACACCCAGTTATTCCAGTCACAGAGCAAAGCGAGAATGAAATGAAAACAAATGGAAAAGGAAATATACAGAAGGGGTATCAATAAAAGATGAAGCACCCTTATTTTGAAGAATAAATTGACAGCATTCAATTTAAGGATACCAATCAGCTCAAAATACATTCAGCTTCTGCGCAAAATTAAGGAATTCCGTGAAATATTGCAGAGTGAGTACGTATAAAATGTGCCAAACAATTTGCAGTTTAGGAGCGTAAGTGATTACGTGGAATTAAACAGATGCACCGACTAGGCGATTTTACACTAAGGATAAGAGAGATTAGATCAAAACATGGTCTTCTGGCGACTGTAAGAACAACAATGAGAAAAATCAATGTTTGGTCTTCTTGAAACCATGGACATTTCGAATACCGTAAGGATCTTCACTACCAGGCTCGTAGCGGGTGGACTCTTTACTTGTCAACGTTTCGACAATAGCTCGTCAGCAGGGCCAGCGCTTCCGCCGTCTCCAACAGCCGCTTGCTTGTGGTCAGCAACTATGTATTGGAAAATTTAAGCACCGCGAACAAGGAGGCCGTTGGGCCGATGTCATAGTTTGCGAATCGAACGTTGCACCAGCGAATCGAACTTTGCGCCAGCGAATCGAACGATGTACCAGCGAGTCGAACTAGGTACCAGCGACTCAATAGTGGCGGGACCCAACGTTCAAAGGAAGCCCGCCACTTTCAAACAGTGTCACGTGACAGTGGACGACGGTGGCAAAGTTCGATTCGCTGGCGCAACGCTCGGATCCAGCGATTCGCTAGCGAATCGCTCGATTCGCAAACTATGACATCGGGCTTGGAGACTGGTGTAACCGCAGTTTGTGAAGACATTTTGTCGAAACGTTGACCAAGAGTTCCACCGTACCAAACTCGCGTCGTACAGAAGAATCATACTGTCAATTAGAAGACTATCAATCTCATATTTGATACAGTGCCTTCCCAGACACCTTGACCATGATAAGAAATAAGTATAAAAGAATAATAACATGAAAGCGCATGAAATTTTGAATGGAGGTAAGGTACACCTCACACACACACATGGTAAAGCATAGGAAATGTGTACGAGTACTCACCTTCTCAAACGGTGCCACTATAGCCTTTGCTAGCGACTGCGAATTTTTTAACTGATTCGAAACGAACAGGAACACGCAAACGAAGGCGGCAAGATAGAGCAGCTTCAGGCAACCGCTGCGCGGTTTTCGCACGAATCGAAAGACCATGCCGCCACCGTAACAGTGAGCTCAATTCATCACCACTGCAATGTAAAGTTTATAAGAATATACCAAAAGATTATCGAACGAGTACAACCACGGAATATCAATAACGAGTCACCATCGCGATAACATAGCATACTATATGAAGCCAACTGAAAACTGGATACTAATAGCGGATGGTACTAGTATATACTACCTATATACCGGTTCCTGCCGGGAACAATGGCGAGAATGCGCGACAATGGGCGAAGTATGTCGACAGCCCGGTGAAAAACTTTACGTGCGTGCGAATCTCCTCTTAATGGTGAATGATGATGAATCATGCACCGGCTTCACCTGCACTGGTACAGAGTCGTTTCCCATCTACAAAAAGCTGACCAATCCCATATGCTACTGAACAGTGCATCCGCGGAGGGAATGCAACAAAGAACCGGGAGGGAATTACAACGTATGCTATTACAAATAGCAATTCCTTGTCTCAAGATGTTCCTCGCATACATTCTGCTTCTTTCTAATTACGCAGTTGACTGCGCAAGGACAAGGAGCGACGCTGAAAAAGCGATGGCAATCTAGAGGTCAGAACAATGAGCAGTGAGTGTCCTCCCCCTCGTTCCTAGGTCTAAATAGAAACGTTCTGATCTAAAGTGCTCACACTCACACTGACATTTTTATACGACTACCGGCTCTATACAAGTGGGGTGGGCACGCCCAGCTTTTCAAGTGACTGCCCTCACCCCCACCCCCTAGATTGGCTACACTCCCCCTGGCTCACGAATTCCCCGATTCTCGTGACAGTATAGTAGCGGGCAGCAGTCCCACTTACATACATTTCTGTTCAAAAAATGCGGCGTGCCCACCCTACTTGTATAGCACCGGATGTCCATACTGCTGGCATGGATCATTGCAATTCTAGGGACCTTTCTCAGAACAATTGCACATTGCTTAGGAAGATTTAAGATCGAAGAAAAATAAATGTTTCTACATAGTATAGGTATAAATGCAGAATATGTGGAAAAAAAGCTTTGATTTTCTTCTACGCAGCAGTGGGAATACCATAAACGCAACATTCATCACCATAAATTTATGACACACCATTGATAGCTGTAACCGCACTTTTCAAGAGCCGGAGTGGTCTTGCAAGTATTTCTACAGCAGAGAGAATTACTGTTCTTACTCTGCGCGCACGTTCCCCTACGAAATACAAGAAATAATGCGGAAAAAAATCACAATAAGTTGCGCAATCTTTTGACGAGGTTGACGAGATGCATTAAACGTGCAGTCCAATTTATAAATAATAGAAGTGAGCAGCTCACGACACGCCGTTCAGCCTGCATCGACGATTTAAAAGATTGCACTATTTCAAGCGTTCGAAGGAAAGCTAGCGTAATGCTCAAAAAAATCTAGGAAAGGAACTTCAGAATCGGAATCATCGAATAAATTAGAACAAAATGGACAAGGATGGAAGGATGGACAGCGACGGGAAGCCGTTGGAGACAAATCTACATGAACACGAATTAGAAGAACCAACAGGGGAATAATGCCAAGGAATTCTTGATCGAAAGTCTTCTGGTGCTCTAATTAGGATATTCGGTCGCTTCAGGCTAGGATCCTTGGGTAAGTGGGACAATACTTACTCGTGCTATACTGCTACACTGCAAAAGGAAAGTCTCTCAAAAGCGACAGAGTGCAATGAGGAGGAAAAGAAAAAGGATCTCCTGGAATCAGCGGATTTTTTAACGAAGCCGAGTGAGAACGCGTAACCGGACCAGGGTCAAGCGTGCGTTGAGGAATCCTCGACATGTCACAGAGGGGGGGGGGTCGTATTGGCCCGCTGGGGAGAGATCGGGCCCGATTGATACAGTAGGATCATCGTCGGAGGACAAACATTAAGGATCGAATCGATACCAGGCCAGAGTATTTCCAATAACAATTGATTCCGTCCACACAAAATCTTCGTGATTTAGAGGTGTCCGCTTAGCAATTCTTAGTGACTTTAGTGTTTCATCACCACACAAGTCAAAGGATCCGAAATTCGCACGTTTTCTAGGGATATTTTATCTTTCAAGTAGGTCCTCAAATCCAACGAGATGTGAAGCACACGGCGCATCCCAGAGTGGGCCCAGTTGGTTGCGCGCGCTTCAGCTACGGCTATCTTGATAACGAATCTTAATTCAGGAAGAATCAAGAGGGTTCTGAAAGAGTTCATGTTAAATTACAGAGAGGAGTACACTATTCAACAAGAAACGCAGCCTTCAGCGTCAAATTCACAAGCATGTAACCTTTAAAGTTGAGACCCGCTAAACAATTTTACACTTTTTGCAGAGAGAAAAGCACGAGGATTTTGAATCTGCTCCTACTTCAGTATGTAATCGCTCCTGCAAGGAGCTATAGTCGTTGGGATAGTGCTAATGTAGCGAAAAAGTACCTTTCGGCGGTACTCGGGCAAAAATCCTCAACGTGGCCATTTTTTAAATAGTGAACGTATTTAGCAGTTTTAGTTGCCTATAGAAAGAGCAAATCTTCTAGTTTATGATGACGTATTAACTTTCCAGATTGCATGAGTTTGAACGGAGTTATGGCTTTGGAAAGCGTAAAAACTCGCACTCATCACGAATTTTCCTCGTTAATTTTGCAAAAATCCTCAACGTGGCCATTTTTGAGTACTGGACGTATGAAGCTGCTTTAGCGACCGTTTGATAGAGAAAATCTTCTAGTTTTGTATGACGTATCAACTTTTTGAATTTGACGGAAATGAAGCAAGTTATTGCTCCGGAAAGTGTAAAAACTCGTGCTCGTCTCGAATTTTCCTCGTTATTTGATCTAAATTTGTTATTTCTTATAACTTCCTGTAATTTCAGTACTGATTAGAAAAAGCTCTTCACAAAACTCCCAAATCAGCTTTCAGATTGAAAATTCGTTAACTTTGAAGAAAGTTATAAATCATTTGAATATTTGTTCAAATTTAGTAAATAAGCTGCTCCACGGTCAACGCCAAAGTCCAGTCAACACACAGCTGGCGAAGGCTTTTACAAGGCTTCCTTTGAGCGAAAGGGGGACGTGTAAATTGAGAACCATAATCTGTGTAGTACTAGAATTTGGTAAGTCTTGTGGAGGAAATAAACAAAGAAGAGGTGTTGTCATAGTACGCCATTTCTAGTGACTAGTTTGACGTTTTTTGCTCCGTTTCTCGTTTGCTCGTTTGACAGGACTCATTAATGATCATTCTTTGACTTTTTCACTTTTATACTTTTTAAACGAGTTTTTTTGTGGACGATGGGGTAGCAGGGCTTTTTTATGAGCAGTTTTGGTGGAGAATTAAACAACTTTTTCATAGTTCGGCTTTTAAAGAGGGTTGTTTCATGGACTTCGGCCTTCGGCAGAGGGAGGGGGGGGTCGTATTTCCGAATTTTCCTCGACGCCTCGCTTGACCCTGCTCCCGACCTACGCACACTTTGAATGAGTAACAAACAGGTGTTGCTCAAGGAAAAAGAAGTGGTAACATGTGGGCTTATTGACTAGTATAGATGCTCCAAATTACATGTCCTCAGACCGCAAGGTAGACTTTGCAGCATGAACACTTCCAGCACACACTGATATTCTAAATGGCAACGTAGTAGCCAGCCCTGTTTGCTAAAATTTGAGCTCGATGTGCGAGTAAAAGTGTTTATCGGATGGCAGAAAACGGACTTGTACTCAGGCGGCATTTATTAATCATTTTATAACCATGACCTGCACTCAAGTATCACTATTTTCTAGAAGGGATTTGAATGCATGGCATACCCCAAAAACGAAATGGCTCCACCAAGCGTCATGGATGTACATCAATATCATGGACGTTCAATTTCAACATCTCGAATTGCACTCTCTTTCTCTTTTTCCTCCATCCATTTAATTCATGTTGAAAAATTGGTGCAGTTCATTTCCCAAAGCTGAGTTCACCACACGTAATGAGGAAAACAATATCCAGGTAAATCAGAAGACAAAGAGAGCGTAATATTCAACTTTCCTGAAGAATTCAAGGCAGTTAGCACCAGTGCAAAAGCTGTCAGACTCACAAGTGTCAAAGATCGATGTGGCCTTCAAGGCTAACGATTATCCCTGAATAACAGGGAAATATGAACGCATTCGATGCAGTGGTTAGAGATGATGGATGCCACCAATCTCTGCTATTATAGTAGACAATCCCGCTTGATTTAAAATAATTGGAGATACACACACAACAACATGAGAGAAACGGTGAAAATCTCAGTAACAGAATAAACTTTAGTTTGATGTTTAAAAGACCGTAACGACTTTTCAAGGCAAGAATTAGGTCAGGGAGACACTTAACAACACTTCAAGCCCCTCCCCTATCCTACCAAGTGTTGGAGCAGGGATAGCGCATACTTCTATGGGGCTAATTATTATTTGTTTCCATCCACGAATCATTTTCTTGGACATTCTTGGACACCGGTCATGCAAGTGAATAAATAAATAAATACTTCTGATTACCAGGCCCGTCATTTTTTTTTTTGAAAAGTTGCTTAAGGAATGCGACGGTTGATATGCATGAACCCAATAACTTCTTCGTTGATTTTACATCCACTCTTACATCAGGCGTCATTATTAAATCACAATTGCTAAGGAAACCCCTCACATTGCGTTGATCGGAAGGTTTCAACCGCTTTTAGTAACTTAATTTTGAATGGCTCACTTCTGAATGACCTTTGATGAAGTACTACCATTTTGTGTATCGATAGAAAACGCGCTTCCCGCTTATATGGATATATTGTTATCTTTACACTGACACACATCCCTTCTCCTTTTGCCAGTCTTGAATACAACATACTCAGCAGGCAATTCTGAACGAGTTCCTCGTTTCCACTCGACTTGGCCATGAAATGCGAAAGCAAGTCGGGTTATCAACTAGCGTTTGGTCCACAGTCTTTATCTTTATTTAGACAGACAACAACAAAAACAAAAACCTGAGGGAACATTATTGAGTA